GTGGTGACAGGCACATAGGTGACCAATGTATACAGCTTGTTTGGTGAATCTTCATCCTCATTACGTTTTCTAGACAAACGTACCCGGATACGATATGGGACATTCCTTACTCCTCTGGCCACACGGCTTTGTTGAGCCTGGTGTCAGTGCGCACGTCGGGGGTTCCCATCTCCTTCGTGGCGAACTTGCGGATCTCCTTGAGGCCCGGGGGCACGCTTGAAGCCCGCGCCGTGGGTGCTTGTGGGTGTTGATGGTGAACTCCCTGCTCACCACCTCGTTGAGGGCTGAGCGGCCCTTCTTCTCGCCACCCTTCTTTGCGGGAGCCATCGTGCCCGGCAAGTTGGAAAGAAAAAAGCTTTCCCCCCCTTTTTAAAACTTTTCATTTACAACCTGTTGAACCTTCTGCTTCCTATTTACTGTCCCTTTCCCCACATGTTCTCATTTCCCTTCTTTCTGTGTAAGGACTGCGGTGTATACTCAGCATTACTGCAGTTAAACGTGATTTTTAAAAATGTTTGTTACTGTTTGCTTTTAAACAGAAAGGAAGGGAGAGAGAAACATCGATTGATTGCCTCCTGCACACATCCCGACTGGACTGGGCACGTGTCCTGACCCGGACTCAAACCAGCGACCTTTTGGTGGACAGACAGCCCTCAACTTACTGAGTCACACTGCCAGCGTACAAGTCCCTTCTTAATACAGTTTAGGTCTATGGACTCTGAGTTAAGAATGATTTTTACAGCTTTGACTGGTGTGGCTCAGTGGATAAAGCGCCGGCCTGCGGACTGAAAGGTCCCAGGTTCGATTCCGGTCAAGGGCATGAACCTTGGTTGCGGGCACATCCCCGGTAGGGGGTGTGCAAGAGGCAGCTGGTCGATGTTTCTCTCTCATCGACGTTTCTCGCTCTCTATCCCTCTCCCTTCCTCTCTGAAAAAAATCAATAAAATGTGCCCACAACCAAGGTTCATGCCCTTGACCGGAATCGAACCTGGGACCTTTCAGTCCATAGACTGACGCTCTACCACTGAGCCACACCGGTTTCGGCCATATAGGTATATATTTTTCAAAAGAATGATTTTTACATTTTTAAATGGTTGGGGAAAATAAATAAAATTTCATGACATGTGAAAATTATGTGAACTCTTAAGTGTCGGTGCCATAAAAATGGTTTCCTGAGGACACAGCCGGTTAGTGTGGCTAAGACTGCCTTTGTCCCAGCAGCAGAGGTGAGAGGTTGTGACAGATTGTCACCCCTCCCAGCCTGAAGGGAGTCCCTGACCCTTTCCGGAAAGAGTTTGCCAACCCGGCCCAGGGACTGGGGGTGGTCGGGCTGTCAGGGACACCTGGGCAGTCCTGGGTGTGACAAGCTGGGAAAAGTCTGTCAAAGGGGAGTCTGAGGCTGCAGAGATGAATTGCAAAATGTTGCCCGGGGCTGCGTTTGGCAGGAGAGAAATGTTTTATTTTCTGTTTTTGCTCATTCAGCCCAGGCACATCAGGAGGCAGCACTTATGGTTTTAAATAACAACCAGTGATTGTTCCTTTAATCTCTGAACTTGTATGCATTTTAAGAGTTTTTCTTAGTGACAGTGGTTAAACTACTCTAAACCGCATATGCCAGTTTTTTTAATTAAATCTAAGGTATTAGAATAAATCTTTTAGCAAGTGTGAGAGTCTTAGTTATACATTACAATGACTAGCATTTAGCTTCCTTTTCAGTAGGAGGTTCCACCTGATGAATTGCCTATAAAATGTGTATACATAGAGTTTATTAGACCTCTCCAACCTGTTACATGTAATCATGGGTAGTTTTCTTTAATTTTGCTCAAACAGGACTTGCCGAGATTATACCTACAGATCTGTTCAAACTTGAAGGAAATGAAATTCTACCTTTTGTATAATTCAAAGGCTTTTTTTGCGGCCTTTGTGTGTGTGTGTGTGTGTGTGTGTGTGTGTAATGTAACATTTCATTTATATGTTGTCTTCAGGGTATGCATTCCTACCTAATAGGAATGTCTAACGGTTGAATTTAATTGTCCTCTTAAGTACTTTCTGCCTTCTGTGAATGAAGTAGCTAAGCTTTTTTAAGTCCTTGTGAATATTTTGTGTTACTTTGGTTAAAGCAGAAATGACAGCAATTTTTGTTATTAACATTTGTAATATAGGAGCGATTGACTGATCGTTATTAGTTATTTCACTGTCATTAATCATTACACATACTTAGCTGTGCTGTCTTGACAGTGAACTTAGAATTTGCAGACCGAGTACATAACTATTTTGGGTCTGTAATGCCAAAAACGCTTTCTGTCAAGGCCGTTGAGAAGGTAAGGAAGTATAGAGGAGTTGTACTGTTGGTGAGTATAAGCTCCTTGTCCTTGTCTGATGAAGGCTGTTAATGTGTTATACTGTACACAATTGTGACTAAAACCCATAGCCGTGTATTCCCGGAGTCTAGATGAAAGCATCTCCCTGCCCCTTTATAGAGGGATACAGACATCTAAGAAATCGTCTCTGCTCTCGAGAAATTATAAATGTAGTTACTCGGGTTACAATTCCTCTCCCTCCCCTTTGTACTTATCCACTATGGCGCAGGGTAGGAGAGAAAGTAGATGTTTGTTAAATTGCAGCCGGAAGATCTCTGCCTCTTAACACGGGACATTCTTCATGTTTTGGGGTCCAGGATATGGGGATTCTTAATGGGAACGGAAGAGGGGAGCTGATGCCTCATAGTTCCCTTTCCCAGGCGCTGGTTCCACTGGGGCCCCAGGCCTGGCTCCTGGGCTTTGGGTCCCAAGTCAGAGCCTCTCTGCGTGCAAATAGTCTCATCACTGACTCTGAACTTGGCCACAACAGTGAGTGAATGCCAGTTCTGGGCCTGGGGCTGAAGAGAAATAAAAAGACAGGCTCTTTGGGGGTTTATGCTGGATGTTGGTGCCACTGCATCTTCTGGCCGGAGTGCCTGTGTGTGGGGGTGGGACTGGTTCACGGGACCAGTGGGAGTCCCCGGGCTGAGAGTGAAGGGACCCACAGACTCGCAGCAGAGCGCTGGCCGGGAAGCTGCTGGTTAGAGTCCTGGTCAAGGCACAGGTCAGGGTGTGGATGGGAGGTACCCGATGGATGTTTCTTTCCCTTCCTCTCTCTTTAAAACCAATACACGGACCCCTGGGAGAGGATTAAAGAGAAGGAAGAAGGCGTGGCGCATGAGTGACACCCACATGTGACATTGGGACCCTCACGGGCAGTTCAGGAATGAGTTGTTCCGTTGCTGGAACACCAGTTATCCATTTCCATAGGAAGCTGCTTTTCTCCCGCTGTGTGTGGCCCGCCATGGTTTGATTGGAGCTTGTGCTGTGCTGGACGCCAGTTCTGAGGAAACCCAAGGTGAAGGTTCAGAGTGACTCCGGGGAGACCTTCGCGGTGGGCAGCTGGCCCCGTGGAGAGGGAACTCCCAGAGGCCGCGGAGAGAAGACACACGGGCGCCTTCCTCCCAGGTGGGGCGTCTCCTCCCTGCGGACGGGAGAAGCGGTACCCGTGTGCTTGCTGTGGAGATCGGCAGGCTCTGAGGCTTGACTCGGTATCTTCTCAGCACAGTGATGTCCTCGGCGCTGGATCTGTATTCCCTAAAGCTTCTGGAGAGTTAGTGACTGTCCCGTGGCAGGTTGTCACTGAAGGTTGGCACGTCTCCCTGCGCCCCAGGTTCGGAGGCGGCACTGTGTGCCCTCAGCTCTCCTTTGTCACCGGGCACTCAGCGCTGCTGAACTGCACTGGCTGCGGAGATGCGGGCAGATTATTTTGTTTTATGGCTGATTTCTCAGTTCTTAATGGGTTAATTTACACTCTGCCTCTTCCAAAAACAAATCCGAGGCACCTGAAAACACAGAAACAGTTAAATAAATAAAAAACAAGGGCGAGAAGGGAAAGCAGGGGGGGCAACATAAGGTTAATACCTGAAGTCACGCCTTGGACTCAGCGCTAAAGGCGAGCTCCGGAGGCTGCGGGCATCTTAAGGGGCAGCGGGGGCATCAGTGGGGGTTACCAGCCGCCTGTGGACGCGCACACCACCTGGAGCACCAGCGCGGCCCCGAGGCTCGGGGGAGTCTCCCCGGCGGGGCGAGGGGACAGGCTGCGCTGCGCTCCAGCCACAGTTCGCAGGAGCGGGCAGCTCCCCAGGGGCTGGCAGGGCCCGGGGTGACGTGGGGCGCTGTGATTGCGGTGAGAGCGAGAGGAGACAAGCCCGGGGCAGGTGAGTCTGTGGGAACCCTGTGCGGTCCCACCGAGCGCTCCCTCTAAGGCTGGAATGAGGAAGTTGGCGGCGGTTAGGAGCCTGTTGTGCACAGCATTCCTCCTGCATAGCTTCGGGATGAGAGCGGTGCAGGCCGCCCCTGGCGTGAGAGGCATGTGGGAATGGGGGCCCGAGGGGACAGCATAGCTCCCCTCCCCCTGGGCACGGCTCGGTCTCTGTCTCCCTCCCCACTCCCCCCGCGTGCTGAGTGAATACGTGCACGCACACACTCTCCCCGGTGAATCAGAGCGATGGTATTCCTCCCCGCAGTCCTCGCTGAGCCAGGTGGCCGTCCTGAAGGGCCCACTGGGCTCCGCGCTCCGTCCGGAACCAGTGGAGCTGATCCGCTGGGCCTGAGCGCACAGCCAGAGCACGGACAGCCCGGAAAGTGGGTGCGGGCCGTCCTGGGAGGGGCGCAGTCACACTGCCCCCGGAACGGCTCTGCCAGGGGCTGCCCTGGGCACGGTGCTCACAGCCCCTCTCCTCAGTTGTCTGTAAACTGGACAGGCCGGTGCTGCCTCAGGGCCAGGTTACATACTAAGCACGTGAAATGCTGGTGAGGCCAGGGCCCAGCGTGCAGGCTCAGTGCCGGCAGCCCTTCCAGTCCGTGTGGGACGAGGAGCTGGCTCACTCCTCCGGAAGCCAGTACAGGCTGTGTCGCACGGGGCGTCGGGCGGTCAGGGATCTTCATCCTGGTTTGTGACCGTTTTGTCGTTTCCAGAGAGACCGCCCCCAGGACCATCTTCCCGAGAGTCCTGGACATCCTGAAGCGGGCGGCGCGCGCCGTGGAGCTGGCCTGCGGGGAGCCGCCCCGCGTGGAGCACCTGGCCTCCAGCCTGCAGCTCATCACCGAGTGCTTCCGCTGCCTGCGCAACGCCTGCATCGAGTGCTCCGCCAACCAGGACGCCATCCGGTGCGGCCCCCGCGCCTCCGGCCACGCGGGAGCGGTGTGGGCACGCGGGAACGGGGCCCGCATGGAGGGCGGTTAGCCCGGGGCTTCAGGCGTCTCCCTGGCGCTTAGTGTGTGAGGCACTGGTTTCCCACAGCACAGAGGGAACTTCCTTCTGATCACTGACCCGGACTGCCCACGGCATGTGCGGCCTGGGCCTCGCGTGTCTGAGCTCCCAGTGCTTCCATTCTCTCCATGACTTATCAGTGACGGCGCTGGTGTTCGCTTTGGACAGGGAGCAGGTGTTGTAAAGGCCTAAGGTGACCTGTCTTAAGACTCCACTTCCACCGGTTTTATTTATTTATTTAAAATATTTGTATTATTTCATAGAGGAAGGGATAAAGAGAGACATAGAATCATCAATGATGAGAGAGAATCATTGACCCGCTGCCTCCTGCATGCCCCACACTGGGGATTGAGCCCACAGCCTGGGCCTGTGCCCTGACCAGGAATCAAACCGTGACCTCCTGGTTCATGGGTCAACTATGAACCACCGGGCCACGCTGGCCGGTCTACCTGCTTCGTAACGTGGCTAAAAGCTGAGCAGAAACTGCCCGGCGCTGTGCGCCTTCTTTGACCTGTTGCTCTCTCCTCCCAGCACTGAGCACCTTTCCTCTTTGATTTTATGGAATCTGCTTTTCATGAAAGATTTTCACTTGAGATGAAGGCAGAGCCTCAAAGAGCGAGCTCGCCTTTCTGTCCTGGACTGGTGCAGACGAGCCTCCGGGCCTCCTGTCACCCCGTGACGGGTGCAGGCGCTGGTCCCGAGCCACCTGAGGGGGCCGCCCCGCTGCCCAGACAGCTCTGCCACCCGAGGCTTCGCTGTGATGAATGGGCTTTTTAAGATAAAAGGAGAGGGAAAAGCCGGGCTTGTTTAACTTCAGTTCTAAACCAGGCCTGCCATCCTCTTGCAGACAAATGGATAGAAACAATTATAACCTTGGTAATAATAGTCAGCATTTAAAAACATAACTACCGCGTTTCCCCGAAAATAAGACATCCTCCAAAAATGAGACCTAGCGCATGGAAAGATAAGACATCCCCTGAAAATAAGACCTAGCGCAACTTTGGGAGAAAAAGTTAATATAAGACACCATCTTATTTTGGGGGAAAAGGGTAGCTGTGTGCTGGAAGGGGGCCTTTGTCCCTCTCCAGAAGGAGCTCCGGGCGCCGGGGGAGGGAGGGGAGTTAGAGCAGACACTGCCCAGCGCGCGGCAGCCTCTCAGGAAGGGAGGCGGCCATTCTGGGCGCCAGCCCTGAGCACTGGGCTTGTAACCCCCGGGCTTGACTGCATTGCCCTGTGTAACCCTAAGAACAAATTCATCAATGGTATGCTACGGCGCAGCCACAGGCAGCCCACATCCAACGTGATTCCTGCTGGCAGAGCCTGATGACTTATTGGATCGCTTGTGCGATGGCTCCATACATATAGAAAAGCAAGAGTGTGCTGCTGGGTCCATCTGCTCATAGAAGAGCTGGGACTCAGGTTAGGAACCTGTCCGACAGGCACTCATCACTATGGCCCGGGACCTCCCTTCTGACTCCCGACTGGAGCTCAGCTCAGAGCAGCCGCCATGACGAGCCCGAGACATCCCTGACCGTGTGTGTGACTGCCGTCCGTGTAACAGCCTGTGTGTGTGACTGCCGTCCGTGTAACAGCCTGTGTGTGTGACTGCCGTCCCTGTAACAGCCTGTGTGTGTGACTGCCGTCCCTGTAACAGCCTGTGTGTGTGACTGCCGTCCCTGTAACAGCCTGTGTGTGTGACTGCCGTCCCTGTAACAGCCTGTGTGTGTGACTGCCGTCCGTGTAACAGCCTGTGTGTGTGACTGCCGTCCCTGTAACAGTCTGTGTGTGTGACTGCCGTCCCTGTAACAGCCTGTGTGTGTGACTGCCGTCCGTGTAACAGCCTGTGTGTGTGACTGCCGTCCCTGTAACAGCCTGTGTGTGTGACTGCCGTCCCTGTAACAGCCTGTGTGTATAACTGCCGTCCCTGTAACAGCCTGTGTGTGTGACTGCCGTAACAGGCATGGGAGAGCAGTGTTAGACATTGCCCTTAAAGCAGAGAAAATGGAAGGGAAGGGGCAGCGCTGGCCCCAGGCGGTTTCAAAATCCAGTTGCACAAACTCAAGTGTCAAGGCCATGCTTTAAGCCTCCGCGGCTTGCGTCTGCCCATAGTCCCCCCCCCTGGTTATCCTTCCTTCTCTTCAGATAGCACCTGCTGGCAGCTGAGTGGTTATCAGCCTGCTCCTACCTGTAGGGTTTTGGGCGTCTGCCTGCCTTTCATTCCATCCTCTCTCTGCGCGTTTTGTCCATGCTGCAGCGCTTCTCCTGGTGTAACATCCTCAGGCCTGTGGGCCTCAGTGGGTGTCAGGGATTCCCAGCAGGCAGGAGGGGCTGCCCTGGAGCTTCCTGGGTAATGCGTCTGCTGTGCCCCCTGAGGTGACAAGGTTCCTTCTGGATGCTCTGGGGAGAACGTCTTCCATCTTTGAGAGGCTGCCTGCATTTCTGGGCTCGTGGCCTCCTCCTGCCCCTGCCCCTGCCCCTGCCCCTCCCTCTTCCTCTCATAGCACCCTGTGATTCCGTGGCCCCACCTGATACTCCAGGACACTGCCCACCGCAGGCCCTTCGTACTCTCCAGGCCCCGTGAGGTCACACTCCCAGGTTAGGGAGCTGATGGGCTGATGGTTCAGCAGTCACAGAAAGCAGCACATTCTGAACTCTACCTTTGGAAAACATTGTTCTTTCCGCTGCCATGGGCACTGTCCCCGGTAGGCTCCGCGCTGCTTTTGGATCACGTGACATGTGGGCTTGGGAATGTCCCTAACTTTGTCTCCTTTAACATCACGATACAGGAACTTGGATACAATCGGCATTGCTGTTGACTTGATTCTTCTTTTTCGGGAACTCCGAGTGGAACAGGAGGCCCTGCTGACAGGTACGCCCAGTCGACTCATGAATTATTTATATATTTAAAAAAGTTTACAAACTGAACACGGTTTATCATTCATTCAGACAAATGTTCTGTGGCGATGCAGAGACTTTATTAGTGGCACTAAAGAATTGTTTAAAAAGCTGCAGCAACTTCCTTTCTTACCTCTGTGGCTGAGCTGGGTTCCTCCCCATTCCCATGGTGGAGTCCTCACCCCAGTATCTCAGATGTGACTGTATTTGGAGGCGGAGCCTTTAAGAAGGTTAATGGAGGTAAAGTGAGGTCACCTGTGTGGCCCTAATCCAGAGTGACCGTGTCCTTTTGAGTAGAGGACATCAGGGCCGTCCGTGTGAGGACACAGGAGTGAACAGCCATGTATAAGCCAAGGAGCGAGGCCTCAGAAGCGATCCCCCTTCCCACACCTTCCTCTCTCTTCAGCCTCGCAGCCATGAGACAGGACTTGGGTTATTTAAGGCCCAGTCTGTGTTGGGGTGAGCCTAACGGGGACCCCACGCCCTGCCCTCAGGTGCTTCCGTTCCATGGAGGAGAGCAGCTGCTGTCAGGCAGAGAGAGAGGGGGGACAGAATGGCAGGTGAGTGCTGATCGCAGTGGCAGCTGCTGTGGGACCGGAGGAGAACCATGCCTCTTACGTGGAAGGCCAGGAAGCTTCTCTAGGTTTTTGGTTCTTGAACTACTGGCATCAACACTTGTCTTTGAGTGAGGGTTATTATCTTAACCTCATGCTTAAAAAACAGAATTTTAATATATGACGTATTTACACAGAATTAAAATACTTGATGGCTAAACCCAAGTCACTTAATAAGAAAATTCCAGTGTAAATATCTGGCTTTTAAAAAGCTGTAGTTAAAATTCTTTTTAGTAAAGAAGGTATAACATAATTCAACAGATACTTCTTAAAGTGAGAAATCTCCAGCTATACTTAAAATGATTTGATTTATAAATTGCCTTACATACAGTTGTTAAAGCCTTCACTTACATAGTGAGGCATCCCCCCTTTGTGTGAGTGTCATGCCGCGGTGGCCAGCGGGCGGAGAACGGAGGTCCGGTCTGTACGGACAGGGGCTGAGGCGTGCAGTGAGCGAGGCTAACTCCGCGGCTACACATGCCGCCTGGCTTGTCTCAGCTTCATTCTAGTCTGTGATTTATCAGTGTTTCTATTTAAAGCTCATTTGTTAAAATTCCTGCATTTTCCTGTTCGATTTAGAATTCTTCCTGTGGGCATGGAATGAGGTTTTGAATTAAGTTAAGAGTTTCCAGAGTGGTTGCTCTCAGTTTTTAAACAGCACGAATGTTTCACATATCCTCAAGAAATGGACAGGCTGTGGGGTGTAGCTGTGACTTGCTTTGAGATGTTACAGAGTTCTGTTGGTTGCTCTGTTTTTTCATAAGACGGGAGCCCTGGTGCTCATGGGGGACTCGGCACGGCCGTCAGAGACGGATTCTGTCTCCCGGGAAGGGCAGCCGCTTTGGAAGTGTGTGGCCTGTGGTTCAGGGAGAGGTCAGGAGGCGCTGTGCTCTGTGATGGCTGGGAGATGCAAGCGAGGTGGGCAGTGTGGCCCTGGCATCCCGCGAGCTGTGGTGGCAGCAGTTTTCTCCCGGGACGCTGTGCCCGAAATAAGGCGCTGCAGGAAGTGCCCTGGGAGCAGACGCTGCCATTAAACGGCCATCAGCCGGCCCAGCGCCTCCCTCTGCACGCAGATCTCTGCCCTGAAATTAGCCCCTCGCCGCCTCTTCAGCTGTTCCCTGTTCTTACTTCCATCCGAGTGTAATGTGCCCCCATTTCCCATCTCCTGATCTCCCCAGTCTCCTATTCCGCTATCCCTTCCTCTGCTCTCCCACACCTGCTGCAGATTGCTTTTCATTGTTTATAACAAATCCTTCTCGCAGGATTCATTTTCTCTTCACTGAAGCCAGCAGATGATCTATCAACAAATTTAAAGGAGGCGATTTGTGAGACTTTAGGAACTGGTTTGGAATGGATGGGGACATTGGTTGTTTGGTTTGGGCTTGCTGCTCACTGATACCCACAGACTGGAGAGACGGGATCTTCACAGACCTGCCTGTGAGAGGCCTGAGAGCTGGCCACAGTGGAGGTGGCTGTAGTTGTATCAACTTAAGTACTTTCTTGGTGACATGACAGAAGAGAAAAATAACCGCTCTGAGCTGAGTGGCCTTAGTGCATTCGCAGGGCTGTACGTGTGCTACTCTACCTGCAAACATGACCCCAAAGGCAGCCGTGTTCCATCTCCTACTCCCTGAGCCCCTGGCCACCCCCATTCTGCATTTAGTCTGTGGATTTACCTGTTCTGGATACCTCCCATAAATGGAATCATACAAATATGGGATCTTTTGTGTTTGGCTTTTTTTCTCAGCATACTTTTTTTTGAGGTTCATTCATAGTGTAGCATGTATCAGAACTTTATTTTTTTATGCCTGAATAATTCCATTGAATGCTCAGATCACATTTTCTCTAGCCATTCATTCATTGATGACTATTTGTGTTGTTTCCACCATTTCACTGTTGTGCCACTTACAAATACATGCATGTACATGTACTTGTCTGAGTTCCTGCCTCCAATTCCTCTGGGTGTACTTAGGAGTGGAATTGCTGGGTTGATTTTATTTAAACTAGAGGCCCAGTGCACAAAATTACATGATAGATAGGATCCCTAGGCCTGACCAGTGATCAGGGGCGACCAGTGGAACGATTGGGGGGGTCCCCGCTGGCACCCACCTTGGTTGGCCTGGAGCCGCCCACTTGCCAGCCCCGTCCCCTGCTGCTGTTTGGGGCCTGCAGGGTGGGGACAGCTTCTGTGCTGAGTGCCTGCCCCCTGGGGGTCAGTGTGCGTCATAGCAACTGGTCGTTCCGCTGTTTGGTCAATTTGCATATTAGGCTTTTATTATATAGGATTTTTAAGGAACTGCCAGACTTTTTCTACAGCAGCTGAGCCATTTTACACTTTCTCCAGTGATGTTCAAGGTTCTAGTTTCTCCACATTCTGGCCAACATTTCTTTTCTTTAGATTGTAATCATCCTGGTGGGTAAGAAATGGTCCTCATTGCGGTTTTGATTGGCATTTCTCTAAGATTAATGATGTGAAATATCTTATGTGCTTGGCTGTCAGTCTTCTTTGGGGAAATGTCTCTTCGAGCCCTTAGCCCAGTTTTTATTGGGTTGTTTGCCTTTTTTTTTTTTTTTTTTGGTCAAATTATAGGAGTTACTTATATATCACAGATACTACTGTGTTTCTCCGAAAATAAGACATCCTCCGAAAATAAGACCTACTCACAGGTTTCCTTCTGAGTGAAATATAAGGCATTCCCCCCAAACAAGGCCCCTCCCCCCTAGGATACACATGAGAGATTTAGTCCACTGATTCTGAAAGAAATGGAGTCACATGCCGAAACTGGTTTGGCTCAATGCGTCGGCTTGGGGACTGAAAGGTCCTGGGTTCGATTCTGGTCAAGGGCATGTACCTTGGTTGCGGGCATATCCCCAGTAGGGGGTGTACAAGAGGCAGCTGATCGATGACTCTCTCACATCGATGTTTCTAACTCTATCTCTCTCCCTTCCTCTCTGTACAAAATCAATAAAATATATTAAAAAAAAAAAAAAAGAAAGAAATGGAGTCACAAGAAATTCACCAGGAAATTCAGGAATTGGATTGTTATGATTATGTTCCAGAAGATGATGACATGATTGTCATTGAATAAGTGAGTAAATTCTTGATACTGTAGGATTCACAGTTTGTCTGGTTTGTATTGACAACTACCCTACTCCCGTACCGTATACAGGTAATAAATTTCCTTTATTTTCATTTAATAATAAATGTGTACCGTATTCTTCTTCATGGAAAAATAAAACATCCCCTGAAAATAAGATCTAATGCATCTTTGGGAGCAAAAATTAGTATAAGACACTGTCGTATTTTCAGGGAAACAGGGTAGAAATGGTGTGGAATTTTGGGGAGGATTGCCATGTTAACAACAGTGTCTTCCAGCCTATGAGTATGGAACATGTGTTGTTTTAGGTCTTTAATATTGTAGTTGTATCCATTTCAAGCAGACAACTTACGCTTGTAGGCCGAGTTGCAAGGCTATCAGAGGCAAAGAGGAAAGCAAGCTGATTTTCTCGCTCTTCCTGAGAAAAGGCAGCTACCGATATTATTGAATTTTATTCCAAGTAATTTCATTCAAGAATGAAGTTTGTATTCAACAATGAAACTTTAAAAGTATTTATAATATGTTAGTTCAAACCTAATGCAAATCTTTTAAAAGGTGTTCTGGTTGCTAATAAAGTTCTTACACTATTTTTTGACTATTTCTCTGTGAGAACCTTATGTGTGGTAGAATTTTAGCAGGGTGTCTGTGCCAGTTTTGTAACCACTTTTGAGGTAAGAACTATAATTACATTGTCAAAATAATATTTAGAGTATTATTTTCAGAGAATAATTACAGTGGTGTGACGAATATATTATGCTCATCAAATTTTGTGTAAACACAAGCATGAGTTATTTTAATTGAGTTATTGGTGTTATTTTTGGCTTTTATTCTTTTCTAATCTGTAAAAATAATGTTGGGATTTTTGAGGGACTTGGTAACATTTGCAGTATTTACATAAAGATCACTTGGTAAGCTGTTTGGTAAAGTAAACTGTCATTTGTCCATGTCTGGAGCTTTCTGTTCAGTCTCTGGGCCATCTTTAAACCCTGCCTTCCCGGAACTGAGTTCTGATTCGCACGCTCAGCTCCGGTTCCCGATGACTTGTTGGGTCAGTTGGCTTTCGGACCAGCTTACGTTGCTGCCCTATTTAATGTGTTCACTTTCACAAAGTTTGAGTGTCCATATTCTAAAATACTCAGGAGGAATATGCCATTTAAGTTATAACTTATCTTACGGTTAAAAATGAGTTTTTTTTATATAAGCATTTTATAATTTTATTATAGAGTAATTTTAAAAAATTCCTGAAAGTAGAAAGAAAACTA